CGACAGAAACCTACCTCTACTCAGCCGACATGTGGGCCGACAAGATCTGGACGCACAAGAAAGCGAGCGACGGCACACTCACCCTGGTCGGCAGCGTTGATGCACCTTCGGCTGGTGATCATCCTCGATGGGTAGAGATTCACCCTAGTGGACACTATCTCTACGTGTTGATGGAGGCAGGGAATAGGCTGGCGGTGTATGTGATTGATGAGACGACCCATCTCCCCGTCTTCACCCAAGACCTTTATCCACTGGTTCCGCCAGGTACGTGTTTGATGCTGTGACTTGTATGGCAAACTCCCGCGAGAACTAACGAGAAGCAGGTGTGCGAGATCTCAAAAAGATGTACAGGTCGGATGTGGTATTCTGTTCGCAAAGTGGCAACTATCTCTTCGCAACCGCCCGCTCGAACTCATTCAGCGTGACTGGGTACATCAGTGCCTTCAAGCTTGGACCACAAGGCCAGATCCAGAAACAGCTATGCATCAGTCCAACGCCAAACAGCGGCGGCCACTCTAATGCAGTGAGTCCTTGTCCCTGGACGGACGAGTGGTTGGCTTTGACAGATGATCAAGATGGTTGGGTGGAAATATACCGGTGGCACGACGAGTATCTCTCGCGAGTGGCTCATCTGGACATCAAGGAACCTGGTTTCGGCATGAATGCCATCTGGTACGACTAGTTCGGAGGCATCGGACTCGATGTACCATATACTGTACGTGTAAATGTGGCAGTTCCACAAGATGACCCTCATGGCGGATAAAAAGTCTTCCGCCGCGTTGTCCCCGGTAATATTTCGCATTTCTTCGTACGAGATTTCCGAAGACTGTGTCTTTCAACCCCACAGGACAGATCCGATGCAGTTGGTCAGCCACTGGTGCCAGTGGTTACGGGGGATCGTAGGCACGCCATGGTACAGGCATAATTCGTTGTTGTAGGCATCAAACTTCGGCAAATGCTTCGTCCCTGAGGCGCCCACTTCCCGAAACTCATCTCGCCCTCCATTGGCCTCCCATGACGGACCTCCAGGATTCCACCATAGGTATGGGTGAAGCTGACTTGTTCCTCCTTGTGAATGTGCACAGGGCGACAGGCACCCACAGGTTCTCCTGAGCAAGTTGAAACATTCAATTGTGGCTTGTCGTGCAACTGGAATTTACGGAAGGTGCAAAGGCTGAAGAACCTGCCACCGGAGCAAGAACGACCCAACAAAGCCCCCACTTGACTATCACCATCTCGTCAAAGTGCAACGTGGAAGAGACTTGTCTATCTCACTCTTCCGGTGACTCTCCCACATTGTCTTGATTCGTGACCAGACGGGACCTTTGTGAGTTACCGTCATGCCTTCCTCAAACCCCGTCCGGGGGCTGCTGTTCGTAACCATGCAGCCCAAGGAGACACTATCGCTTGATCTTTTCCATGACTGGTACAACAACGAACATGGCCCCAACCGAACTCGCCTCTCCTTTATGCCCAATGGGTTTCGATATCGAGCCACAGACCTGCCAGGACCCAATGCCGGCACTCGTGTGCAGCCCGAGTTCCTGGCTATCTACGATGCTACCGACATGCACCAGTTCACCGAACAGCCGTACCAGTATCTGCGGGCGCCGCCGGGGAAAACCCAACGAGAGATCGATGTCATGGCCCAGATATGGGTAGATCGGTTGACGCTGGACTTTGTCGGCGAACGGATCAACGACAAGACATTTGTCAAACTCGAATCACCTGAACATTTCCGGGAGAACGAGCAAGGAAATGTCCTGACTACCCTCAGATTACTCCTCGACGCGGATCAAGTCTCGAGCGTTGGGACCTGGATTCAGACCACGGTGCTCCCAAAGGTGCAAGGCGTCCCCGGCTGGAGGAGGACGTCGTGGTACAAGACATCGTATCTGGAATCACGCCAGGACGGCAAGGTCGATTTTGTCCTGATCAACGAATACACGCCGTCCACCGACCCCAAAACACTACCCTCGACGCTTGAAGTACTACCCGTGGAGGTTTCGCAGACCAAGGCACGCACGTATGAACTCTTCTACACGTTTGGAACCGCAGCACGTCACCTGGCAATCGTAGCACCGTGGACGTCTCCAGATGGAGTCACCAAGACGCTACCAAAGGTCTTCCCCTACGGCTCGGCTATAGAGTCGACTGTCACGACCCGCGACGGTGCAGTCCTGCCCTTCCGCCTTGAAGGCAACTCCGACCCCAACGCTCCGGTGCTGGTGCTGGTCAATTCGGTCCTCACCACCTGGGGAATCTGGGACGCATTCCTCGCACACTTCTTTGCTCATCAGGAGAACCAGAGATACCGTGTGCTCCGCTTTCTGGCCCGTGGCAGGGTCGTCCCCAGTGGCACAATCAGCCCTGTAACTGTTGACCTGCAAGCGTCCGACGTCATCCAGCTACTAGACGCCTTGCGTATCCCTCAAGCGGCCGGGCTCGTGGGCGTGTCCATGGGCGGCGTCACTGCTCTGGCAACGGCGCTTCAGTACCCGGCACGGATCAGAGCCTTTGTCGCGTGCGACACGTCTGCGAAGTCACCGGCTGGCAACAAAGAGACGTGGGGCCAGCGAATCGCCGTGGCCGCGAAGGAAGGCACCAAGCTCCGCCTGACATCTCTGTTCGGCGACGAGTCTGCGGACGATGCTGCCGGTAGTCCGCCACAGCCGGTCGTGGGCGAGGAGCTTGCCGAGATGACGGTGCGCCGGTGGTTCGTGCCCGAGTCGTACGCCGACCCAGCGCTGGTGCCGGAGATCGCCCGCGTCAAGCGCATGATCTACACCAACTCTCTGCCTGAGTTCGAGCGCGGCGTCGAGACCCTGTTCAACTACGACTACACACCTCTTCTGCCTGGGTATCAGGGCCGAGGCGCGTTCCTGGTCGGTGCCGGCGATGGCGTGCTCCCTCAGGGCATGGAAAAGCTGGCCCAGCAGTTGGGCTCGGCGGCAGGGAAGACGGCCGCGTTCAAACTCGTCCAGGGCGCGGGCCATCTACCCATGGTAGAGAAGCCCAAGGAGGTTGCCGACTTTGTGGCGGAGTTTTTGAATGCTTCTTAAGAAATCAGCCAGCACAAGCCCTGTAGATCTGTAGACCTGGGAAGAGAGCGAATTTATGAGCCAGAGCAATTTGTTGCGTGCCACAGCCTCGCCGTGGTGTTTGCCATGATCATACCATACACAATTCTGGGACCCTCGGTCTATTTCTGCATCTATGTGTGCGACCGCGCATCTCCTTTTTATCTGGGTACCTCATTTTCCGTCTTCTCTCATCATCGTTGTCATCTTCCTCGCTCCCCTTTCATACCATTCATTCTCTGTCTCGAGCTCACTTGACAACTTCTCGACCAGATATCGCTTCCACGTCGAGCCAATGACGGCAGCTTTGCGACCCCCTGACTGACGCTAACGCTGAGCAATCGCCTCATAATAGTAATAGTAGCACATGGATTCCAGATTATAAACAGTATGATGTGACTGGTGTCCCTGTCTATACCTTGTCAGTAAGCCACGTATCTAAATTGAGCTGTGCGGCCATGTCCAAGTTGAGCCTGCAGCCATGACGGGCGACTCAGCTCAGCAACGCTGCTTTTGTAAGTGCTCACAAAGTTCGTTGGGATAACCCAGGCAGGGCCTTGAATGGTCGTAGTAGAGGAGCTCATCCTCAAAAGATCGATTCTTCTCTTACCGACAGAGGTTGACGTTGTGCCATCCGCACCTGAGGAGCCCGCCTCAAGCATAGGGCGGCATCACACTCGCCCCGATCCGGAGGCCGCTGCGAGCTCCTCTTGGCAAATCTGCCGCTGAACTCCAGAGGTGAACGACTCAAACCACCTTATCAGTCAGAGGCCATGTCGATTGAGAGAGTCCGTCTGTGTAAGACATTCTCTCGTTCCAGAACATCGGCGTCCTGCTAACGTGGAGAACAGGTCAACGATGCGGACTGTACGACTAGGAGTCATTGTGCCCTCGTCAAACACTGCCTTGGAGCCGCTGACAAATGCAATCGTCTCGTCGATACCTTCGGAGAATCTAACGATCTCGGTGCACTTTTCTCGGTTTCGTGTCACCACGATCGATCTCACTCCAACGGCGAGCGCTCAATTTGTGTTTGAGCCCATATTGGCCGCTGCCAGGCTGCTAGCGGACGCCAATGTCGATGTGATTGGCTGGAGCGGCACATCTGCGGGCTGGCTGGGCTTCGACCACGACGAGAGACTGTGCGCCGCCATCGAGGCCGACACGGGCATCAAGGCCACAACGTCTGTCCTCGCACTCAACGCGCTCATGCGCAGCCTCGGTGTGACCTCGATAGGGCTGGTGACTCCGTACATTAAAGGCATGAACGATGCGATACGCGCCAATTACGCGGCCATTGGGATAGACATCAGCGCCAATTGGGAGCGCCACCTGGGCATCACGGACAACAATGAGATTGTGCGCGTCGACGAGAGCACTCTGGACGAGATGGTCATAAACGTGGCCGCCAACGGCGCGCAGATCCTCACAACATTCTGCACCAATCTCCGGGCAGCTCAGCGTGTCGAGTACTGGGAGAAGTCGCTGAGGGTTGTTGTGCTGGATTCTGTCAGTACGACGGTTTGGGGGATGCTGAAGGTGGTTGGGGTAGACACGCGGCTTGTCAAGGGATGGGGGTTTATGTTTGAAGTTGACTGATTCAGAGGGTCGGAGAAGTCGAGGTGCGCAAGGCTGTGGCGCAGCTCGGCAAGGCTGGGCTGTTTCTTGGCGAACCGTTGCTAGGAAACGGGTGGCCCGGCCATTTCGGGATCCCCCAAACACGCCGCCAACTGCAGCCCGTCCCATCATTGGGGGCTCTCTCGCATATTCGTATGCAACCACCCTACTTGTTCACCACTCCTTACAAACTCTGTACCACGCATAGCTAATCGCAATCTTGACGATTCTTGATCAAACTTCTGCATCTCTGTTATACACTACGACCAAAAGACCATCCATACATTACTAGGGCCTGGCACGATGCCGCCAGGCACTGCGTCGGAATTGGGTGCCCCTCCATCTGTGCCGTTGAGCTGTAGGTAGCTGCCGTCACGGGCATCTGAACCCAGGACTAATTGCTGAGCCGACAGTTTCAAACAACTTCTGGGGACGAGATGACGCCGGCGTCGACCCCCTCCTTACCCGCATGCAAAATGCCAAAACCACCTGCGACGAACTGAAGGCCTTTTACAATGCACGAGCCGCGTTGGAGGAAGATTACGCAAAAAAGCTGCTGAGTCTGTCGCGGAAGCCACTGGGCAGCGTCGAACAGGGGACCTTGCGGGCGAGCTTGGACGTCGCCAGAGGAGAGACCGAGTCCATGGGCAAGCAGCATGCACTGATCGCCCAGCAAATGAGATCCGAGCTCGAGGAGCCGCTGGCAGCGTTTACGGGCGGGATCAAGGAGCGTCGCAAGATCGTGCAGAACGGGATCGAGAGACTGCTGAAAACGAAACAAGCACAGACCGCCCACGTCAACAAATGTCGGGACAGGTACGAGCAGGACTGCCTGCGCGTCAAGGGTTATCTGGCTCAGGGCCACATGGTCATGGGGCAGGAAGAGCGGAAGAACAAGGCCAAGCTCGAAAAGACGCAGATCAACATGGCCACCAACTCGAATGAATACGAAGCCGCCATCAAGGTTCTGGAGGAGACGACAGGCCGGTGGAACAAAGAGTGGAAGGCCGCGTGCGACAAGTTCCAAGATCTCGAAGAAGAACGCCTCGACTTTACAAAGTCGTCTCTCTGGGCTTTTGCAAACATTGCCTCGACGGTGTGCGTCTCGGACGATGCGTCCTGCGAGAAGATCAGACTTGCACTGGAGAACTGCGAGGTTGAAAAGGACATTTCCTGCTTCATCAAAACCTGCGGGACGGGTCAAGAGATTCCTGATCCCCCTCGATACATCAACTTCTGTCGAGGAGACGTGGATACGGCATCTGAGGTTTCGGAAGACGAGAACTACTCGGTTGCCCAGTTTTCACGGACCACAAATCCCGCGTTCAGATCATCTTCACCAACTCATTCAACTTCTACAAAGCCCAGATCCAGCCAAACTCCTGAGCGCCGATACTCGGAAGAACCAACAAGACCAGAGGAGGACGATATGCCGACACCGTCTAATGGAAACAGTGGACGGCCCCCGCCGTTGAACTACAAGCATCCAGGACCAAATGTGCCCCCGAACTACTCACCCAGTCAACATGGCGATGTGCCGCAGGTGCCACACAATCAGTATCCGACTGACGGCATGACCATGTTCTGCAGAGCCGACGTCCCCTCGGCTGCAAGTTCTGCTGTATCCTCGAACACTCGCCCCGACAGTAGGGACGACATAAGCGAGTATTCTGCACCAAGCTCGTTCACGAGTGCGGAGCTTAGCTCTGGCGCTGCTTCACCTACCAAAGGGCCCCCCGTCAACGGCATTGAATTGCCTGGAATGGCGTCACCTGAGAAATCCGTCCAGAAGAAGAGGTCTGTTTTCTTCTCCAACAGTCCCTTCCGCAGAAAGTCCAGGAAAGAGCACGAACCTCCTCAGCATATCAGCAGCTCCTCCAACCGCAATACTTGGAACGGAGCCTCAGGCACCAGCACTCGCATAAATCTCAATCCCACCGTGACCAGCGCGCAGTCGAGTCCTAACAAATCTTCGGCCCGTCAAGCACCCAGCTACTTCAACAGAAACGCAGTCGACATGGCACCCGAAGGCGAAGAAGCTGCTGACCCTCGAGCAAGCTTCCAGTTGAGTGTGGGCAACAATGTCTTCGACGTGGCCAGCCCAGACGGTGCCCAAGATTCAACGCCCAAAGCAAGCACCGCAAATAGGCGCAGCCAATTCATGCCGCCACCGTCGGTAGCGGGCAACGAGCTGATGCACGACCCTATAGCCCAGGCACTGGCAGATCTCAAGTTGACCGCCGGTGCCTCCACAGCCATGGCCAAACAATCGAGTACACGGGTAGCCGTGGATCGTTATCACGGAGTGACGACCCCTGCACCTGACCAAGAACCGGCTACTCGACCAGGAGTACTGAGTGCTGAGAGTCAAGCCCGTCTGGCTGCACAGAGAGGAACACCTCCACCTGCCTACGACACTGCCGGCCCAGCATCTATGGCAGGGGGGAGAACGCAGAGCGCCCTTGGAGTCCCTCAGCCAGCACATACTAAGAGAGAGATGCTTAATCGCACGGAGACGTGGGGCACTAGGGGAGGGCCCCCTCAAGCCCAGCCATCAAGACCGGGTACAAGAGATGGGCGGAGGAGTCCTGGACCAGGGATGATGAGAGCGGCAAGTCCTCAACCTCAACCTCAAAGCCAACATCCTCCCCGTGCCAGAAGCCCGGCTCCCGGCGTCATCCCCCGTGCTGTGAGCCCTCAACCACAGCAGGCTCAGAGATATCAGCCGAGGTCGAGAAGTCCAGCACCTCCCATGGCCCCTAGAGCGGCAAGCCCGAACCCGGCAATGATGTCAGGAGGACGACCTGGGGCTCAGCAATATCGGGCAGCCTCGCCGAATCCTTATGGAGGATCACGAGGTCAAGCCTCAAGACAAAGTACTGGCATGGAGATGCAATTGAGCAATCAAGAGCCGGGGCGCTACGACGGATCTGGTGGTAGTGGACGAAGTCGCCAGGGCATGATGCGGCCCAACTCTAGTTTTGGTGGCGATCGGTATGCGCAGCAACAAACTCAGCAGCAACAGTTCCAACCTCCATCGCAAGGGTACGATAGCCGGCAAAGAGGCGGAGGTGCAAATGGAGGGGGTATGGATATTGAGCTGAGGCGAGAGAGGAGCAAAAGTCTCGCGGCGATCCCGTACCGAGCAGGTGCTCCTCCAGAGCAACGTCAGCAGCGAGTATTGCATTATGGTAAGTCAACAATGACCCATCAGAGATTTTCGAGTAGAGACTTCGACTTGGAAAACAACTTGCTGACGATAGTCTTTACAGCGAGGGCAATGTACAGCTACACAGCGGCGATTCCCGAAGAGCTGTCTTTCTCCAAAGGCGACATTCTCGCAGTATTGCGGCTTCAGGACGACGGATGGTGGGAGGCAGAGGTGAAGGAGAGTGCGAGGGGGATGAACATAGGGGGGATCGGATTGGTGCCCAGCAATTACTTGCAACGGTGCTGATTTCAAAATCTCTGGTGAAGGTGTAGATAACGCAAAGTGCTATGGTGACGGACATGACCCAGATATCAGCATCTGCTTGGTTGGATATTATCGGAATGGGATCAGGTTTGTACGATATTCGACACTACCACCACCGCGTGAGTTTTGGGGCTTGATCTGGTTTGGCGCTATCTGGATTCGATTGGATCGGGTCGACCGGTCCTTGAGCGTGCGAGCTGCTTGTCTGTACCTACCTACCTACCTACCTACCTACCTATTTACCTAGGTATGTTACTCGGTGCGCGGATCATAACACGAGATTTGGGTAGCGATCAATGATATGAATGGTCAGGTCAGATCAGGTCGAGACGAGATTAGACGAGGCGAGGCGACGCGTGGGGATCTACCAGGTACTTACTTATTGACTGACTGACTGACTGACTGACTGACAATGTCTTTTCACTGTCTCGTCGTTCGTTATATGGTAGAGTGGGGTGGGTAGGGTAGGGTAAGATAGATATACCTCCCTCGTACGAGTGAGTATACGAGTATCTAGGTGACTAGGTGATTAGGGTACGGAGCGATCGATCGATTGTTGATTAGACTAGACTAGAAGACTATGTCTGTATCCTTGCTTGCCACCTTTGTGCGTCTTTCTTTCTGGGATTTCGTAGCATGCATGACGTGATATTTGCTGGACTGGACCGGACTGGACAGAACAGGACAGGACAGGAAAGGGCGTTACGGATGGGCGGGAGTTACAAACAAACAAACAAATAACCCCGTGTTCCATCCATCCCCTTTCCTGTGTCTATCTCGAGATGGATTGATGAGCCGCAATCGGAACTGTATCTGGATCTGGATCGTGGCCTGGCTTGACCCTGTTGTTCTCCCAAAAAAGTTCAAGTCCACAGACAGCACCATGCACCAAATTCAGAGTTCAGGGTCCAAAGTGCGAGTGCTCATACAACGAGAACCTGTCCGTCCCTGTTCGAGCCATGCTGAGCATCTCGTCCCGCCGATCTAGGTGTCTTGAAGATGACCCTGATCACCGCCCGTGGCCTGACCCCTGATCCTTATCCTGACCCGGGCTCTGAGCCTGATTCTGACTCTGACCCTGACCTTGATGACCTTGATCAATCACATCGGTGTGGCAGTTATTGTTGTCGTTGATGTTGTTCTTGTTGCTGCCGATCTCGTTGTTACTCATGTTGATATTGGTTGCGGTATCCGGCGTCAGCTTCAAGAACTGGCACCCGCTTTTGTCATCGAAGCTACTGTTGTCCTTGGAGTTTGGCCCGGTAATGTAACCATCGAGGATCCCTTTTGCCGATGATGACCCATCATTCACGGTGCTTGATCGCTCAACGGGGATGAGTTTCAAAAAGGGCATTTTGCTCTACCTCTCTCTGTCTCTGTCTCGGTCGATCTCGGGTATGTGTGTGTGTGCTGGCTCTTCTGTTGTTCTTCTCTTTTGTTTTCGTTCTGTCCGTGGCGATGCTTGCGCCCAAGTGGTAAAGAGCCCTGTCAGTGTATGGTAGCTTCTTTCGGATCCTTGCTTTTCTGTGGTGGCGTCGACAGACAGGTAGGCAGCACGGTCAAGCTCAAGGTCGTGTCGAGGGCGATAGCAATGACACAGACAGATGAAAAATGGAAGAAAAGCGTCAAACTCTTTCTTCAACAAGAGGTGTTCCCATGCCGGGTGCAGAGCAGTGAATGGTTGTCACCAGCACGCAGGCAGAAAGTGTTGTTTCACACACACACAACATGGATCACAAGGCAGTGGAGTTCCCCACGCGGATGTTTCTCGTGTGGTCGTTTGTCACTGCCCTGTTATATTCAAGGCCAGGACCTATCGAAAGAGCAGAGTCCAGACAATGCCGCCTCCAAACATGCCAGCCACTGTGATGTAGCTGCTCAAGCCCATGGTGGCCATGCCCGAGATGCCATGTCCACTGGCACATCCCCCGGCCATTCTCGCGCCGAATATCATGGTAAACCCCCCAATAAGAGCGGCAAGGGGGTTGATGACTGGCCCTCCCGCCTCAGACACAGCCGGTATGAATTGCGAAATGATTTTGGCGCCGCCGATGACACCGCTGGCAAAGACGATGTTTGACAAGCCAGGCCCTGCGGTCCCGTCCACGACACTCCAGATATACTTTCCAATATCTTCATACGCACCCGATACACCCAGGGTCTTCCGAGTAAACAGGACCGAGGTCGCTTGCGCCACGCCGATGAGAAGGCCACCGATGATAGGGTTGAGCCAGTAATCCCTAGTAGGTCCCAGGTACGTTGCAGCACCGATCATGACGAGACACAGGGCCTCATACAGGAGAATCATCGAGTTGGTGGACAGGCCGAGCTTCTCCTGCACAGAGTGCGGAGCAGGACCGGCCGAGGCGCTCGCAGGTGTCGTTCGTTTGATATGCTGCGCCGACTTGACAAAGGCCATCGCTCCCAAGATACAGCCAGCGGCAACGGCCGGTGCAGATTTCACACCCATCGCCAGCTGCACAAGAACAGTGCCCGGACAGGCGCCGGTCAAGGCCATGCCGATACCGTGCAAAAGTCCGCCAATGAGGTTTGCATCGTATTTCATGAACCAGCCGTACGTCGAATCCGACCGAGGCGAGAGTTTGGCGTACTTTGCTCGATTCGCCCAGTAAACAATCAACGCACTGCAAGCGCTGGCAGCGATGAAGCTCTTCATCATATGGAAATTGCCCAGCTGGAGTTGTGTGATGATGACAGAGGGCGAATATACTCCCGAGGCAGCCAAAGCGGCACCGAAGATGCCGCCACTTGCAGCGCTCATCAAAAGGGAAGACATGGCTGATCGTCTCTGGCTGTCTGTGTGCTAGGAATTGGGATGATTGAACTCTTGCTGGGAAGCCAGGGAATACGAGTAGTCGTTGGAATTTGGAGACATGTTATTCGAGATATCTGGAAATGCTTTTTTTCTCTTTGCGTGGCTTGCCAGGGCGAGGCTTGGAGCCCGAGAGTAGCAATAGAGCCCGACATTGATGCTGCTAGGCTCACGCTAAAGCAGGACCCAGCAGCTCGCCACGAGGTCAGTTTAGCTTTCCAATTCCCCCCAATTTTGGAGCATTTTGGTCAGTGGTGGAAAATAGCCTTCCAGTCCCCGAGGACGCCGTCAAAACCCACCTTTGTTGATGAATTTTTTGGGGCAAGGGATATTGGTCCCCATAGCTCACATCATGATTCAGAATGATAGACAGCTAGGACGATCGAGGTCCCCGTCAGGAAAGGAGAAGGATCTCAAGTCTCAAGCAATCCCCCGAAGACACCGTTTGTCCACCAGAGACGGCGATGCAGACGGGTTCTTGCCATGATTGTTTGCGTGTATCCGATCCGCGTCATAGACTTTTTGCTTTGCTCCTGGGCGCTGGGTAGGGCTTCTCGCTTAGGTATTGGGCGCGGGGAGTTGTTGGTGGGAGGGCACGTAGGGGCAAATTGGTCACTCTCACCCTTCGTATTCGCGCGGGGCATCGTGTGGACTGAACACAAATAAACACTTGCTCGGCGACTTCGGTAAAAGGGGGTGCCTGGAATGGCTTGAGGTGCGACGGAAGTGGTAAAACGTCTTTCGGCATGGATAGCTACCCGTGATTCGGTGGTAAGAGAGTTGAAGTGGAGGGAGAAGATAATCTGAGGTTGGAAAAAAAGACGAGAAGGCCTGGTGGCCTTTACGGTGACCTGCAGGGGAGGGTCAATAGGTGGGACAACACTGGTCTTGATTCCCCTGCAAACATCACCACATGCACTTGTATACCTGATGCTCCTCATAATGCCAAACCTGAGGAATTCATCTTTGTTGATGCTTTGACGCGAAAGCTGTGTGAAGCATGTACTGCGCAAGGGGCTTGATGCTGCCCTGCGCCACGAGATCTGATCTGTATGATCGCTGATCGTCCCAGCAAACCCGATCGGGTCGCCTTACAGCACATAATACATCTAGGCCCGAAACGAGGCAGTCATACTTTTATATCGTCATCGAACCTCCAGAGAACATGGTCAAGCTCAGCCCCCAGAATTTAAGTCACCATCTTGTTGTCTACCGAGGACGTCTCTTTCAATGGCTGCGAAAATCAAGTTGAACGTCCAGAATTTCCCACGCCCTCCCTTGCTGGAGAAAACACCAAGGCACTTGGTGCTGAGATGGAACGGACAGACCCTGGCCGACACCAAATCGGCGTACTGGGTCTTGGAAACTACACATCCTCCAAGTGAGTCCAGTCTTGCTCTGGAAGTATTAGGCACCTACGGGGAATACATCCCTGTCCAGCCGAATCACAATTGATAAAGAATAATCTACTGGTGCAGCCTATTATCTTCCCCGAAACTCCGTCTCGGACTCCTTCAAGCTCACCCAGGTCCCCGAGAAGGCATCGCTCTGTGAATGGAAAGGCCGAGCCACATATTGGGATTTGACGGACAAGTCGACAGGCCAGACGGTTACGAACAAGATCTGGAGTTATGAGTCGCCAACCCCGGCTTTCACAAGCATCAAGGGATATTTGTCCTTTTATGCCAGCGGCATGCCGTGGGAATGCTTCGTCGACGATGAGAAGGTCGCTCCTCAAGAAGGTGAGCAACCGACTGAAACCACGTGGCGGCCGAACCTGATCCCCCTCTTTATAGGCGACTACTATGGTGGATGGGTGACCAGTGAACTCGAGGGCCCCATGAAAGGAGGCCCTGGGACATGGGGTTGGTAGTTGTTATGGGTTACCAAGTGTCCAATGCACTATTAAGAGGTCATTTCTATTACCACAGTACATGCACTCTCATGTGTCTCATCCAGCTCTTGTCTGCGGCGGCGCACCTTCTTCTGGTGTTATAGAGATTATGTTTCGAGCCCGTATACGTATCAGATCGGAGGTCGGTGAGATAGTTCCTGCGCAGAAGGAGGAAATTGGGGTTTCTCTAGGATGGCTGGCGGCATTATTGGTTGGGATGACTTCGCACATCCAGCACATGCGCCCTTTCGCGCACGCATGTCAGGGGTCAGCCGTTGTGATGCTGCGTTCAAAACTGCAAGTCGAACAGACAAGCAAGTAAGCATTCATCATACTGCTGATTCCATAGAGTGAAAGAAGCGAAAAGGGCTGAGATCTCCGCTGCCACAAGCAAGGATGTTCCAGTGCTGCGAAGCAATGCGGGAAGAAGTGACTCGCTGCCGCAGTGCTCAATACACTAGACTGACGCTTTTCCCTCTTCGACGCGGAGGTCTCTCCCTCCGATGTGCAACTATGTACTAGGCCCTCCGGTATAAATTCTCCGATTGGACTCTCGGTTAACCTCGCTATACCGTCATAATCCCTCCCACCACGTCTCCATGCCACTTTCGATGCCTTCCGCCTCGCTCAATGCGGGTAATTGATCGTAGACTGGGTCATGCGTTGCTCATCTGCGCTTTAGCATTGCTCTGTGACAGAGATTCTCGCGTCGCGGCATTGCCTCCGTTGTCAGATCCAGTGGGTGAAGTGGATTCTTTTCTTTGATCCCTACGAGGTCGTACGCCGTGTTGCGTGGCGGTTGAAACCTTTTCAGTTCTCCAACTCCCCTACCAGAGCTTCTCTCTTTCCATGTTTAAAGAATTCTAGAAGTCTTTCTGCTTGCAGATAACTTCCTGCCTTATTGCTTCTTCTTGTGTAGTTTCTCTTTTTTTCTCTCTTCTTTCAAGGTAACGATACGGTCCTTAGAAGCCCATGGGGGACATGTCCGGGGTCGACGACCTGTTGGTGCCGATGGAGGTCATTGACTTATCCCTGGGGTGGTCGTTTAAACAGAGTGATGATGTTGGTGAGAATGCCTGGTATCCAGTCAAGAAGGTCCCTTCCACCGTGCACCAGGATTTGATCGACAACAAGAAGTGTGTAATGTGGCATCCCCCGACAACCGGCCAAAGCTGATGTAGACACCCACCAGACTGGATGATCCCTTTGTCGGATTCAACGAGATCAAGGCAGAGTGGGTAGGGTTGAAATCATGGACCTACCGGACCAGGCTCGTCAGCCCCTCGGTGCCGCGAGGCTCCAAAGCCGTACTTGCCTTTGATGGTCTCGACACGTTTGCTCATGTCAAGCTAGACGGCAAAACCATCCTGAAAAGCGACAACATGTTCCTGCCACACCGAGTCGACGTCACAGACCTCATTCAATCCACATCAGATCACAGCTTGGAGATCGAATTCGAACCCGCCTTCCTGAAGGCCAGGGAAATCAAAGATCAGCATCCGGAGCATAAATTCATTTGTTTTAATGGTGACTCTGCACGTCTGGCCGTGAGGAAAGCACAGTACCACTGGGGGTGGGACTGGGGGCCTCTCCTGATGTGTGCTGGCATCTGGAGACCTGTTCGTCTGGAGATGTATTCCATCAGGATAGCCGATCTGCGGACCGATATCACCATCTCAGACGACCATAAGCTCGCCACAATCCAGGCCTCGGCCGAGATTGAAGGACTCGAGGACCAGCATGGCCATGTCAAAGTCGACTTCGCCGTCAGTCTGGGAGATACCAAGATTCTGTCAAGCCAGGCAAACCTCGTGTCGGGGAAGAGGGCCACTGCCCACCTTAACGTGTCCGATCCGCAGTTATGGATGCCCAACGGGTATGGGCAACAGCACCTGTACACTGTGACTGTCACGATTTCGACGACGGACGAGATGGTGTTGCACCGTGAGTCTCGACGTATTGGTCTACGCAAGGTTGAACTCGTCCAGGAGCCAGACTCTCATGGAAAGTCGTTTTATTTCCGGGTCAACGATGTCGAAATCTTCTGCGGTGGCTCATGTTGGATTCCCACCGATAGCTTCTTGACAAACGTCACGGCCGAGAAATATCGAGCATGGATCGAGCTGATGGTGCCCGCGAACCAGAAAATGATCAGGTAATACAGAACAAAACTTCATCCACCCCGAAACCACCCGACCGCTACTTAATTTCGTCGTCCTTTGGTGGAATTTGAAGCTAACGGGTGTGGCCTAGAGTCTGGGGAGGCGGGATTTACGAAGACGACGCCTTCTACGACGCCTGCGACGAGTTGGGGATCATGGTGTGGCAGGATTTCATGTTTGGTTGCGGCAACTATCCCTGCTTCCCAGAAATACTCAAGTCGATCGAGGCCGAGGCCGTGGCCAATGTTCGACGAATCCGCCATCACCCATGCGTGGTGATTTTCGCCGGGAACAACGAAGACTACCAAGTGCAGGAGTCTGCCCATTTGACCTACGACTATGACGACAAGAACGAGGAACACTGGCTCAAATCGGATTTCCCAGCACGCTACATCTACGAGTCACTACTGCCGAGAGTTTCTGCGGCGGAGGCGCCCTGGATTCCATATCATCCGGGATCGCCATGGGGGGATGGCAAGATCAGCTCGGACCCAACGGTCGGGGACATGCATCAATGGAATGTCTGGCATGGGACGCAGGAGAAGTACCAAATCTTCGACTCGTTGGGAGGACGTTTCAATTCCGAGTTCGGCATGGAGGCATTCCCGCACATTGCGACCATCAAGTCGTTTGTTGAGAAGGACGAGGATCTCTATCCGCAAAGTCATGTACTAGATTTCCACAACAAAGCCGATGGCCACGAAAGGCGAATTGCCACGTACCTAGTGGAGAATGTGAGGACCGCGACCGACCTCGAGGCGTACATCCACCTCACCCAGCTGATCCAATGCGAAGCTCTGATGTTTGGCTACCGCGGCTGGCGGAAACAATGGGGGGACGGCCGACATTGTGGAGGAGCCCTGGTGTGGCAACTCAACGATTGCTGGCCAGTGACTAGTTGGTCGATTGTCGACTACTACCTAAGGAGAAAACCGGCGTATTATGCCATGGCGCGCGTTCTAGCCCCGGTGGCGGTCGGAATTCGTCGATCTCACCACGACTGGAGTGTGACACACGCCCGCGAACCCCGGACGCAGGATTGGGAGTTGTGGGTCGTCAGTGCGAAGCTGACCGACATCATTGCGGATGTGGAGGTCAGGTTCGTGTCCGTCCGCACAGGCCTGGAGATCAAGGACAAGATTGTGAAGAAAGGAATCAAAGTCAAAGCCAACACAACTACCGACGTTCTCAAGGGGCAGGTCGACAATTTCCAGGAGGAGCCCCATGTCCTGGCCGCCCGGATATGGGTCGACGGCACATTGGTTGCTCGTGACACTGATTGGCCGCAGCCTCTAAAATATCTCCAGTTTCCCGAGCGAAACGTCAAGGTCGAGGTGGTGGGTGACGAGATGCATGTCTCTGCAGACAGGCCGGTCAAGTGTCTTGTGTTTGAGGAACGCGAAGGGTGTCATCTAAGCGACAGCGCTATTGACTTGGTGCCTAATGACCAGCAGATTATCCGAGTGCGAGGGCTCAAGGCTGGAGAACAACCACTCAACTGGACATATTTGGGGGCTGGGGAGCAGTAAGACAGGTGCAGTCATGGCCCCTGGAAGCCGAGGTTACGATGCATGAGACCAGACCAGGGCACGCAAGAGATGCCCAAGAGGGATGTTGCATATTCACTTGACAAATGGAAAGCAGCCAGGGGGCTAACTGATCTCATTCGGCCCGAGGAGAAGTTGATTTCGAGATGGGGTGAAGTTCACCTTGCTGAGGCGAACAGTCAGCCTGATGGCATGACTCTCGCTCTTCTTTTCCAGGAAGACGAGGAAGGCTGGGTAGAGGGACAAGCAGCCAGACACAACAGCAACCCAAAAGTTCTCTCTTTGACCGGTAGAATGTCGGCATGGAAGAGGCCAGTCTTATGTAATGTTGACGATGTTACATGGCTTCTTGAGTCGGGTCGGGGACAGAGAAATCTTCCGCGTATACGGGGTACCTGGGCGATTCGTCAGGCTCACTTTCCTCTCTCTTCAAATAGACTGATCCCTAGAGGATGGCTCAGCCGGGTTTGTGCATCCAACCATCTTTCAGGGACTCCCGTAGCTTGCCGATTGCTTGTCGCACAAGGCAAAAAGAAAAGCCCATTGGATGCCAATTGATATAATTCTAGAAGAGGTAGTGGTGGCATTTCTGCGCAATGGAGCCGTTGGAAGATATTCGGCAGATTGGGTATCGCAGCACCCAAAAAAGGCCCCGCCGGTTAAAGCTAAACGGACGCATGGAAGCTCTTGTCTTAGTCCCAATGGCGGCTAAATAGGTGATTCACGGGCTCGGCGAGGCTGGTTTGTGTGGTTAGGGGCCGTTATCCTTCATGCTAGAGGAGATTTGGGAGGGCGAGAGATGACACCTTGAATGAGGGTGGTGTGGTCAGGTCTGTTGGAAGAATATGAGGTGTCTGTCGTAGTTGTTTCATCAATCAGCAAGCCATGTGGATAGCGGGACAGCAGATGGTACTTGACAGAGGGGACTGATATGAGGGAAGCAGGTGCACATGGTGGAGGTGGAGATGGCAATGAGAATGGCGTTGAAGCCTCTGGCAATGGTGATGGTGATGGGCGATAGCGATGTGGATGTTTGAGGGAAGAGGATGTGGAGGCGGTCAGGGGCCAAGGCCAAACCACGAAGCTCCCCACAATCTGCGGGCGCAGGCACCCACAGGCACTGAGTGCGTGAGGTGCAGTGAGAGCGCAGGGAGTGACTGGTCCGCAGATCCATCATCAGCATCATCCATCCATCCATCAAGGATTCCTCAGACGAATACCACCTCCTACTAGTCAATGCCTCTCTTTTTCCGACATTACGCACTTACGGACAATAATGTACAGTAGCATGTATGTACCACCAGTACCGCCTATTCCCACTTTATCACTCATCAAATTACCACCCACACGTACTACCTACTTTGCTACCCCCCTTCACCACCCCCTCCTATCTTCCATCGACCTCGCCGAGACCTTTTCACTGGCCGTTTCGAACAACATCCAGAACTGACTGTTACATAGGACTGCCTTTACTCGCCCTTTATCCTCTCCCTGTTCTACGTTGCCTGCGCGACAGGTCGGACAAACGGTGACAAATTCACCTCGTTGGCCAGTCAAGTCGCTCAACTTCGACCCTCCATTCCTCCTACCTACAGTAGCTTTTTTCCTTAGCTCGTGTCCATCCTAATCGAACTCACTACTGCATGCACCTGAACGAGCCAATTCTGGTCCTACTTCTTCTTTTCCTTCTGGAGCCCTTCCATGGCCGTCTTGTCGACCCTGGTTACATAACGCCCAGGGCCTCCCAAACCAAACACCCCTGCTCGAGACCCTAGTCCTGCGATCATTCCCGTGGTCCATTCTTCTCCCTCTACTCTCGCCAGGGAACAAGCACACCACTCTTTGAACCTCCTGGCGCGACGTCTAGCACCAACCAGGTATCTTAGCCCGTCATGCATGTGGTTGAACTGAACCATTTCCCCGGTCAAGATTGCCCTTGTTATTCCCACAGTTTCCCCGGATTCTTCCATATGGCCAGTGGCGCGAGTTCAGGCAGTATGACCCAGCAGCATATTATGCCGCCGGTTTTCTTCTCCTCGTGGCATTGATCTCGGACAAACTCATTGTTTCTGTACACCAGAAGTCCAGTGAAAGTGATAAAGGAGGCGCTCTGCACGCGTCTGCAAGTTCTGCACCTCCCTTGCCATTCTCTGCCTAATCGACCACGCTCCACCAATCTCCTTATGAGTAGGTGTTCTGTCGATCCCTGACTACCTCGGCCTCAAGGTCATTCAGAGTATCATCGCGCCCATCTGGGAGATTCTCAGAGAAACTCCGTTCTCATACACTCAAGTCCTGGCACTCTGGGCAGCTCCCCAGGTTGCAAGGTCTCCGCGCTGTCGTGACGTCTGGTCCCGTGCGTGCTCTCGGCCAGGCCCATCTATATTAGGAGTCCATAGTGCTCGGTGGACTGCTGTTGTGTCATTCGCTAGCCGGATTTCCAGATTTCTGGTGTCCCTTTCAGGATGTTTCATACATTTGAGACTGCGCAATATCACAGCCCAGAGCAGACCGACCAAAATGCAAGCTCGGCGGCAAAGCGCAGGACCTCTACCGTGAGGGCTTGTGAGCCCTGCCGACGTCGCAAGATCAGGTGCAGTGGAGAGCATCCATGCGAAACCTGTCAATGGTACCGGAAGGCTGCGTCTTGTCATTACACCGAGCCTAGACAACGGCAGATGCCCTCCAGGCGGTGAGCAGAGTGACTTCTCGCACCTATTTTGCCAATCTCTGACATTTCATCTACAGGTCTGTTGAGAAGATCTCTCAAACGCTACAGGAATATCGAGGTATCCTACAGAAGCTCTTTCCAAATGTGCACCCAGACCAGCTGAAAGAGCTCCCTCGTGAAAGACTCGTAGAGCTCATCCAGAAGAGCAGTCCATTCCATCCCCCTTCACCTCGAACACCCAGCGTGGAGGAGAAGCCGCCTCCTGTGAATCCTGATGCTGCCAACCTCGAAAAGCTGCAACCAACGCCAGAGGACAGCAATGATGGATTTTCTGACCGCAAAACTCAGGCCCTGAAAGGCATCACGGACGACGTCAACATGCTGTCCCTGTCAGTCAACCAAAACTCATCATATCTTGGAATATCTTCCGTGATGGCGGTGCTGAGAGTCATCACTTGGCTCGATCCAGACTGCCTGACCAAATCTCCTGAGAGGAGTGCGGTTCCCACCCGGGAAGCATCACCGGCACCAGAGAATCCGAGAATGGATCCTGGTCAGACAAGAAACGACGCCACGTCGACATCTGCCTGGGACGAAATCCCCTTGATCAATGCATACTTCAGCTATGTCCACCCCTTCATACCCTTGATCGAGGAGCAAGTCTTTCGGGACACGTACATGACGGCACAAAGAACTGATTCTCGATGGCTCCTACTCTTAAACAGTGTCCTGGCCATGGGCAGCGTGGCAGCAGGGACGTCGGAGGACGCAGGTCACCACGTCTACTTTAACCGGGCGAAGCAATATCTCAACTTGGACACCTTGGATTCTGCCCATCTCGAGACTGTTCAAGCCCTTGCCATTTTGAGCGGCTTCTATCTTCATTACGTCCAGATACCCAACCAGGCAAATGCTTTGATGGGCGCCACCTTGAGAGTTGCTACCACGCTGGGACTTCATCGAGACTACACCGAGGGGGTTGGGCCCGCAAAGGTCCACAAGGCATCCTTCTCAATCGAGATGCGTCGCAGGATATGGTGGTGTACGTTCATTTTAGACGCCTGGGCCGGCAACACTCTGGGAAGACCGAGCATGGGCCGAATGAGCCACGCCATAACAGCGAAACCGCCCCAAGAGCCCATAGGTCAGTCAATGGCCATGCTAGCTCTGGTGCAGGAGAACGTTCGCTTCTGCATCATCAGCACAAGAATGGAAGATGCCCTGGCTGTTTCTCCTCTCTTGGAAGAGTATGAACGCTGTCCTCTGGACGCCCTCTATCTTGAGTGGTACAAGCATTCATCTGTGCAGGCGGACTCTTCACGTGCGACCCCCAACGAGCCTCCCGGCGTTACTGTCGTCAAGAATGTGATGAGATGGCGCTACTTGTCGAATCGAATTATTCTCCACCGCCCTGCTCTGCTCTGGTATGCCATGCGCAAGATCGCATGGGAGAGCCTCTCTCCAGAAAGGCAAGCAGCGATTGAGCTTTGTCGTGCTGTATGTGCAGATCTCATCGATGACATTGCTTCCACCTGGCGAGGTCAAAAGGAGTGTCAGATGTCTGGTTGGAACGCCACGTGGCTTCTTTATCAAGCTGTGATGGTTCCACTTCTCTCGCTCTATTCGGACCCTCACGATGTCGATGTAGTTGATAGCAGCCGCCATCAAGTCGAAGTCGCTGTGCAAGTCCTGAAGGAGCTGCAGGCCTGGTCCTCTACCGCTCGCCGGTCGTTGGAGGTCGTCATCCGGCTATATGACGCCAGCAAACGGCATTCTGCCGCCCTCCAAGAATACCAAGAGACATATCTGCCAAACAACATCGAGACACCGACGTCCTCGACCACTCCAGCTGCACAACACGCACAGTTAACGACAATGTCGGCGTCGGCAGCGTCGTCTTTCCGCCCCACCTACATTGATGTCTCATTTGCCAACACCTACGGTAACCCGGACGAGCTCAACACGGCCACTCAAGAACTGTTCATGGACAACATGTTTGACACACTGAATTGGAGTACAAGTTGGGACAGTCCCATTGGCGGGACCCCGATGATGAACGGCTGGGATTACAGCGCCATGCACCACTGGGCGGGAATCCCCCAGGCGGATGAATATTTTGGCGGATTCGGTCTGCCTGACGACCCGAGTAGCCAAATTCCTGGAGTGGTTGCAGGAACAGGGGTCGGCAGTGGGACGGACCCAGCAGGGGTCTCGTTCGATGTGGACATGCATGCCGCCGCTAATCTGGGGGACATGATGAACAGACACTATGCACCTACAAGTAGTACGGGCATGGATCATCAGCACTCGCGATGAAAGAGGCAAAAGGGGGAACCGAATGAACGCAGCCACATGTGGTTCCACATTTTGGGGATGAATGCACGTTTGTTTGCACTTTGGCGCTCTAGCGGGCGTACTGTCAAGAACCAGAACCAGAAAACAACAAGGGACGTAACAGCACGAAGAAGGCGATACAACGATTCATGAAGTGAAAGGGGGCCCAAGGGGGGTTTCTCTCACCATTCCCTTTTGGTTCTGGTTTTTGGTTTTTCATTTTTTTTTTCTACTTCCCTTTATGGGAATGCGTGGCACGGGGCGGCTGTATGAGCAATTCAGAACAGACATAGGCCATGTGCATGTTCCATATGATATGTTATCCCATCTAAGAGAAACAGTAGACTTGATGGCCGGTTCAGTGCCGAAATCTAAGCAAGACATGACATGACATGACAGGATTACTCTGTGATTTCTCTTTCTTTCTTTCCCCACCCGTCCACCTACATTTACATACATCTATAATTCTGTATCTCTAGATTCTAATAGGTAACTTCTTCTTCCACATTGACTTCCATTCAAGTTTAGGTTTCATGGCGAAATCTCTGTGCGCGCGGTCGCGGTCGCTGCGTCTACCAACCGAATTTCTCGGCCCAGACATCAATGTCCCAGCCACCCTGCCGGACAAGGTCGGCAGCGACGTTTCGCACGTCGCGCACGAGGCCGTCTGGGCCGGAGACGATGATGCAGATCTTCTCCCTGGTCCTGTCTGCGGTGCTCTGCTTGTCTGCTTGTGAAGAAATAGATTCGTTCGTGACTTTAAAGTTCAGTTTGGGGGTTTGTAGCGCCGATTGTGATGACGAGGAAGAAGAAGAAGAAGACGGGAGCGGATCTGGAGAGCAGTCCTCTAGTATCGTAGAAGAAGAAGAAGAGGAAGGGGAAGACGATGAAGGATAAAGAGGTCTTCCAGCAGCGTCGGCTAGAGAGGACGAGGAGACGGACGTGATCCAGCTGTAGATCTCGCTTTGCATATCTGGTCGAACGTGTTGGCAGCCCGGAGATCTTGTGTCGAATGCCCGCGTTACTAAACTTCCGGCTTCGTCATCCCCTTGCTCTGGTCCAGCAAGACGGGTGGCTGAGTCTTGGGCATCTTCGTCATCGTGGAGTGACTTCACCGCACTCGCTCGCGGGACCATGCAGATCCACTTTCCATGCAGCACCTCTTGCCTTACCCAGAAGTGTGCGTAGTCGGGGTCTCCGTCGGCTGGAGCAGATTCTGCAGCAGTGGATGGCATGGTCTTCACACCATTCTCATATGTGGTCCTTGTGCTCAGGAAGAGTCCTGCATCTGCGCTGCTGTCCTGTCGGACACGGACTGCCCAGGAAAGCGGATAGGTGACTGCGATACCGCTGCCACCTGCGACGAAGCAGACGCGATCTGCTGACTGTGCTGCATGCAGCGCTGAGGTACTGCCATAAGGACCGTCAAGAACGACTTCACAATGCTGATGGTGGCGGGCGTGGCGCAGAAGGTCGAGAGAAAAGCCGTCGATTGCGCGGATCGTGAGCTGAAGAGGCCACGATCCTCCAGACGCTGAACTTCCTGCTGGAGCCGGTGAAGCTATCGTGAACGGGTGCGCCTGAAAGCGGTACTTGAAACCCATGGAGGGGATGGTTAGAAATACGTGCTGGCCGGGAGACCATCCGCGGTAGAGGTTCGTTTGTGCCCCCAGAAGAAGATTTTGGCGGGACAACGGAATATTGCAGTGGACCAGAACAGTGTCCCCATCTGGGGCGACTTCCAAAGTTGCAATGAACTTTCGAGATGATATCGTCATGCGCCAGAGGAGCCTGTCGACGGCCCAGACTGCAAAGGCCGCGCAGACGTATGGCTGAGCCGTAGGGTAGTGGAAGAAAAGGAATACCAGAGCGGCGAACTGGAATATGACGTGTACCACCAGAAACGATTCATAGTAAAGACGGCGGAACCAACCGATGCTCGTGACGTAGATGAGATAGTACGAAATCACTGCACAGAAACCGAGAAAAACGACTCTGCTCGTCATATAACGGAGCAGGTTCCAGCCTAGAGGACGGAGGATGGTGTACCAGACAGCAAGCATCCCACACATATGAATGACAGCGAAGCAAGTCATCCACTCTCCAAGACGACGGTGGAAGATGTTGAGTCCTTCGTAGGAATGTCCTGTCAGGCATTTGAGCGGCTGGTTGTTTTTGGCGGCGAGGAAGTAGAGGACTGGAAGATTTGCAAGGAAGAGCAGACCAGCCCGATCGGCGAGAATAAAGATCCATGGCAATGACAACGGGGCACGGTAGAAGAGGTAGAAGAGGTTGACGGCGAGAAAAAAGAGGACAGCGAGGGTGATGGCATTGTTCGGGAGGACGTTCGAGGGAGCTGTTAGTGCTGGGATGGGTCGTGGCTGGAACATCAAGAGGGACTTCAGTCGATCCGCAAGGGGTGGCCGTCTTCGAGAAGTCGGATATGACCGTGACAGCAAGGGTGTCGTCTCCCCATTGTCAGAACAATCTTCTTTCTGCGAAGGCGTACTTGTCCCAGTCGATGTACCGCTTGATGATGGTGAGGGGTTGGGTGCGACACCCGCATAGTTGATATGTCTCTGATCATTCTTGTCCCATCTCTTACGTTGGTGCGCTGCCCTCCCACAGTGGACGCCTCCCACAATGACGATGGCACCGACAATCCATAAATAATATGTCAGGATGAACTTGCGATGCCAGAGGATGGCGGCGATGATCTTGCGGAGGTGGTCCGGTGACGGTACCCCGCTAGACTCTGCTAGAAGCGCGACAAGACTGTCAGAAGATTTCAGGGAGAGGCGGAGGATGTCGAGGCATTCTTCAGGTGATGCAGCGTCGTCCATAAGTCTCGACAGGTCGCACAGAGAGGAGGAACAATGATTGGGAGACAATACAGTTGCATCTTATCATGATAAGATCCTGATCTGGCGGGCGAGCGGGTAAAATATTGTCAGGAGATGAGCGTGGCGCCGCTCTATCCGTTGGGTCCCCCCCCTTGGTACAACCATATGTTTTATCAACTGCCGCTTTTACTGACTTGAGGCAGAACAAGAACTCGCGGTGGATATGTTCTTGATGCGTGGGAAGAGAAACGACCATCTATCTATCTATTCACTGGTCGGAATATACATATAAAATACAGGCCGAAACCCTATTTTTGTACATACAAGCAACATGTTTATGTTGCAAGAAACCCCTCTGCTAAGAGGTGGATTGAGGCACTTCAACGGCTCTGTCTGCCACCACCATGATCATCAGTCTGGTTTCCATCCAAGGACGACTTCGCAGAGTTGACGACCGCGCCCTCTTCAAAGACATGCATGTTCTCCCAACTCGACGAACTTTCGAGGAGACGTTCTTGTTCGACGTCGGGCATCGCTGAGGAATTTGGCTGGATTGGAGAAGTACCCCTTTTCCTGCGGCAAAGCTTGACGGTAAAAGTGAGGCCGGCCATCGCAACAATGAAGACAACCATCATCAATACGGTCGTGGAGATCATAGAGCTACTGAAGAGAGAGTTAGCGAGCAATTCCATCCTGGGAAACGGTTCGAAGTAGATTATATGAAAAGCTCAAAAGGAGTTGGGGGTGGATTGGCCCATCTCACCTTCTGGTAGCCTTTGTCGATTCCGGGGATTCGGGAGTAGGCTCGTGTTGTTCCTCTTCAGGCACACCCGCCTGCTGCTCTTTTTGGTCGCTCTCTAGAGAGCTGCATGAGATCGCGGGTAACGGGCGATCCCTATGCTGCAGCTGCAGCTCTAGCGGCGCCTCGATCAATGTCGCGACCAGACCTGTTTCTACGTGCCATTCCATGTGGCAGTGGAAAAGCCAGACGCCAGGGTTGTCGGCTCTGAATCGTAAGACCATGAAGCCTCCGGGTTCCAGCAAGAGCGTGTCTCGCCTGATCGGAGTCCGCGGATAGTCTTCCTCCACGAGACCGCTGGTGAAAAAGCTGCCGGCCTTTGGGGCAGAACGGTAGACGGCTTGGAAATTGTGGCCATGCAGATGGAAAGGATGGCGGACCATATGGTGGTTATAGAGGATGATCTCCACGACCGAGTTGTGCTGCAGGACAAAAGGGTTGGTTGTGGAGCCATATATGGAGTCGTTTGTTGCGGATGGGCCACTGGACAAAGCTGTGTAAAGGGACGGAATCTCTGGGGCTGCGTATCGTGTCTTGTTGAAGAACCATCTGGACACAGAGTGAGCTACTTGTCCGAGCATAGATGGACCCGAGCAGTGAAGAACGGACGGCGCTTACTTGATGCCTCCAGCATGTGACATTCCCAGGCTCAGGACGATGCTCTGGTCTGGCCGAGGAAGCAAAGACATTTCATCGTATGGTTCCAACGTCACATCATCAAAGGGATTAAAAGAGTCAATGACCTGAGGCTGCGGCAGTGGTTGATCGGGCGCATAGACCAGCCATCCTGTCACGTTCTGGCTTGCGCTACTACGTATCTTGGACAAGGTCTGCGAAAGATTTGTTAGTCGAAACCCGAGCAAGAGAGAGAGAGAGTGATGAATGGGCATACGGGATCCATGGAAGCCACCACGGGATAATTCTTGTGCGGTTCAGCCTGGGTGGTGACGAGGAAGCTGCAGCGCTGCCCAGACGAGAGGTATATCATGGCCGTTTCAGCGGGCTTGGTGTAGACGCCGTCCACCTCAATGATCCTGATCGAGTGATCTTCAATCCAGAAGTACTGACCCGCGAACGCGGCCATGTTGACCAGACGAACCAAGTACGTCCGTTCAGGTATGACGGGGATATGGAGGTTCTGTGTATCGTTCAGCAAGTTGGCGTCCGGCACAGGTTCCTGCGACATCATGCCCCCGCCGTGCAGGTACTTGGGGACTAGGAGTGCCATCTCGTCATGGTACCAGTCCGAGACGGACAACAGCAACTCTTCGTCATACAGTCCGCGATATGGATGATCCGGGTCGCGAACGAGGAGTGGTCCTCGCAAGCCGTCGGGATACTGGCCCTGAACGTGGGAGTGGTACCAGTATAAGCCAGCCTGGGTAGCCTAGAAAGTCCCAAACACGTATTTAATAAGGGGATATTTCCTGTTGAGTGGTGTATTACACACCTTGAACTGATAGGTAAACGTCGACCCAGGGGTGATGGGACATTGATTGACTTGAGCAGGCCCATCCAGCTCACTGCTTCCATTCATAAACAGGCCATGGAAGTGTAGAGAGGTCGACTGGTTCCCCAGCGCATTGACGACATTGACCACGACGGTATCGCCCAGGTCAGCGCTTATGGTGGGAGGCGGCCAGTGGCCATTGATACCGATAGTTGGCCGACTGAAGCCATCGGGATTGGCGGCTACCCATGAAATGTTGAAGTCATAGGTCACGGTTCGGGCGACTGTTGTTTGGACTGCGCACAAGCAGAGAGCGACAAGAGTCTGCAGCAGAGGTGATGATAATGTTGATGCCATGCGAATTATGACGCTCGGGGAGAGATCGAGCGCTGAAAACCACCGCACATGGAAGGAATCATTAATTGATATCGGGTTCTTCCATCCAGACACAGAAGAGGCGTGAGAGGCTTATAGGGGAACCTCGAAGGGCGTCTTCGGGCTTCAAGACCCACAGCTGCCAACGCGGCCAATCTCAGGGCCTGCCATGCCTGTCTGAGAAAAAAACTTGCTCACCTCTTTCTGACCTCTACAAGTACCAATGTCTGCCAGATAGTCGGGCTCTAGGTGGTCTGACATTTTCGACCAGACGCCTCTCCGAGTATAGCACTGGGTGACGGGTTTGCTGGTAACACGAAGACGCTGGGACTCATACCTTCATCAACATGTGGTGGCGAGCACGTGGAATGACACATCTCCGGAAAAACAACAGTTCCGGTGTCACTCCCATTTTGGTAACTCCTTTAACGCCGTCTCGTTCTCGGCCTACTTGCCCTCAGGTGAACCACTGGTTTCTCCATTGATTATGCCTCCACACTTCATGATAGCGCACCAACGTTCTAGAACCGCAAAGCCTTCAAGAAACGCACCTCAGGAAGCTAGCTGGCTAGCCCCGAGCCTGACATGATCCCAAGTCTTCACGAACTGTTCAATCGACCAGAACACCATCTTTGTTCTCGCGCCGTGCATTGTGGAAGCAAATACGAGGCAAGGACTCTTTTGCTGTCCCTCTACCACTCTTCCATGTCTCTCTTCAGCTACTTAGGCATGCGCAGCTTCTCGTATTAACACCAAAAGTCCGTTCTCTTTTCCTAGCCACGGAACCTCTCCCAGAACTGGACTGGACAACGCAAGAAACTTTGTCTCTAGCACATGACTGACCGGGCTCAAGCAGCTCCCCCAATGATGTGACTGCTTGCCTCGTGTCGCCAGCCGTCTCGATTTTTAGCCGCGAATGACAGTTGCGGCTCTGAAGTTGCTCCTCGAATCAGCCCTACGGGGCGGCATTCCACGATGCAGCACCGCCATGGCACGATTCTTAGCTTCCTCAAGCAATTCGCTTGATGAAGCTTGTCGAGAAAACAAATTGACCTTACTTTCAAACAAGCTTGGACCGGTGATGTGACCCAGAAGAGCTGCGCCTTGGCCACATTGGGCTTCTGAAGTTGACCTGTTCATGCTGCTTCGGAGGAAACTAGTCGCAAACAGTTACGGTTGAATCCAAGGAACGACGATGCAGCAAATTGTCGACACGCTCGCTTGACAATGCCCTACCTGCTCCAGCTCCGCCCTCAGAGTTTAAGCAAGCGAATGCGCCAATGTCACGACTAATTGTTGATAGGCGAGACCTGCCATTGTGTTACAAAGTGTCAAACCATGTTCGCTAGCATTGAATATCCGGTGGTGGACTTTTGGCCCGTCTAGTCCTTGATCGTCATTGTATCAAAGCTCCAAATCATCTGGGGGACCGCCTCTTCGCATTTAGCTTTCCTCCGGTCCCCGTGTTCGGTCCTCTTACCAAATCAGGGGGTTTCTGAAGCCGTCGAGGTATCGTCTTGCAGCGCTGGTATCGATGCTTGCCGAAGGTGGAACGAGTTGACTGTTGGTGTTGCGGCTGAGCTCTGGCCGTTCTGCCACGTTGCTTCGGACACACTATCCCTATGGCAGAGCCCCAAAACTGGATAAATACCTCGTCTTTGCACTACACTTCCCATCGTCGAGCATTCTAAATTTCGGACAAGCACACTTTGTGACCATCGAGGCTTTTTACCTTTGAGCCAACAAGATGACTTATTCTATGAAGCATGCACTACTCGTGGGCTTCACTCTTTCTACGGCAGTGCTTGGTCAGGATTGTGGCAGTAAGACACCCCGTCCTCGTGCGCAAGCGAGGACAACTGACGCTCTGCTCTAGGATATACCGTGTTCACTGATAGAGGCGCGAGCTCCAATGATTTCAACTGTGATGCATTTATTGATGATGCTATGATGCCGTATCTTGCATGGTTTAACGGCACTACCACGGTAAGGACTCCCTCGCGAGAAGGTGTCGTTGTCGAGGCACAATCTGACAGGCATTCGCAGCTCACCCTCACTGGTGGACCAGCGTCTGAATGCCCGGACACAACCTGGGAACCACTGAAAAACTCGTTGCTCATTGGCGGCATGACCGTTCCCGGCAACAAAACGCTCGACCGGACCAAGTATGATAACAACACCTTCTACTTTGTCATGCCTGAGCAGTCAAACGACAATATCAGCGTATCCCTCCAGTCCTCATCGGACGAATGGTATGACCAACCCCAAGGTTGGCAGATCAACGCAACCAAAGCTGGAGATGGCTACGACATCGCCGGCTACTGGTTTGGTCAATTGCCAGACAACAACGAGCTCGACTTTCCCGGCGTCCCTGGCAAACATTGTTGGGACAGCGGTCCAGTCTGGCCGGGAATGAAGGGCTACTTTGACGAATACAAATGGACCCTCGTCGGACACCTGTCTCCCACGGCCGCAAATCTCAGTGTCATCATGACCGAGACAGACGATGATGGGTCAGTGTGGCATATCTACACAAATTTCACCGGCAAGGCTGGACCAAAGGGGCCCAAGTTGGTGACTACTGGGGACGCGCCGACCACGGATGCTCATGCTTGAGGCGAGGGTGCTAGTCTGGAGCTGCAGATGCACAATGCCATAGTTCTTATCTAATATCATTGCCGAGTTGTCCCGTACCATGGTTTCACAGACGATATGCCATCCTCGGATAGCATGCGGTGTTGTACTACAGTACTACAGAAGATAAAGCGCAAAGGTGAAAGGTAGCTAGCTGGATGAACTCGGCAAGGGGTTCTTCGGATCAACATTTGGCCGTTCCGCAGCCCCTTTTGTCTTCCCAACTCCCTTCGTCCTCTGCCTCTTGGAGTATGTTGCATCTCATCTCCATGCACGATTCTTTGTAACAATATGGTCTCTACATGAGTGACGTCTGCTACTACACCGCTGTCGAGACAACAGTCAAGCTTCGAGCTATGACATGCTCATCCCATCTCCGCTCTGCCCTGTGCGGCGCTCTGTTCAAAGTAATGTAATATAACAAGGCCACATTCCATGCGTTGTCCCTGTCTACCGAGTTCAGAAAAACAACAGCCCACATTCCACTTGGTGCTCGACCACAATCAGTGAATTTCTACTTTGGATTGAAGATCTTTATAGCTGGGAAGACCTGCTTCTGTCATCTTCCCTTTTTCCACGACACTCTCCTCGTTCGCGTCTTCCTTTGTGTTTGGGGTTTCTTGTCTCTATATTTCTTTGTCACAGCCAAAGGCCTTCCACCCGTTTTCATCCATCGTGGCATTCTATTCCTGCTTCTGATCTGAATTCCTCTGCGAGAAGAAGAAAACATTTTCCAGTTGACCAAGGAATTCTTCATTGCTTCGTCAGTCAAAATGCATCGCGCCATCTTCAAGCTCCCGCTGCTCCTTTCGGCTGTTGCCCTCGCGAGGCCTCAGACCCCGGCAGACACCAGCGCCTTGAGCGGATTGCCAGCTTGTGCAGTGAGTATCTGTCTAAATCCCCACAGTCTGAAACAAACATCTCTAACCTGTCGTGACCTACAGCAAGATGCTGCCAACGCTGCCTTGGCCTCCTCAGGCTGTCCCGTGAACGACCAGAACTGTATCTGCAGCTCGGCACCCTTCATCAGTGCGATCACTACTGCAGTCACGCAGACGTGCTCCCCAGCTGACGTTCAGGGTGAGTGACTCCAACCCCCCAACCCTTGTGGTCCATCTTTGCGAGAAAAGGGAACGCAGCAAAATATACTGACAGTGGAACCTAGCGGCATTGGTCTTCGGCCAAACCTTCTGCGGTGCCGCCCTCGGGGGCGGAAGCTCTTCATCCAGCTCGGCCCCTACCACCGGTGCAGAAGACACAGCCAGTGCCACCCCAACGGCCAGCCCGACCGACGGTGACGCCTCCAACGGGGTCTCGACCACCACTGTCCCAGGGACATTGACGTCTGTGACCAGCGTCGCCGACGCCACGGACAGCATGAGCACTTCCACAGCGAGTGTCACAGACACCCCCACGTCCGGTGCGATGGGTTCAGGCTCGGACGGCATGGTGACAACCACCCAATGCACCACAACCACGACGATGATGACCACCGTGGCCTCCAAGCCAACGGGGCCATACAACGCGACCTACACTGGCGGCGTTGGTGCGGCGATGAAGAGTGCAGCGCCGGGCATGATCGCCGCCGTGGTGGGTGTTGCTGGCGCGATTGCCTTGTTGTGAGGTTGACCTACAACCTACCAGGTGCAATCGAGATTGTCAATACCTGGACACCCACAAACACGCAAACACGAACACGATAAGACAACCACACACAGAGAGAGCGGGGGGAAGGGAGGAACGGAGGGCGAAGAGAGTGGGCTTTTTTTTTTCGGCAGTGTTAGGTTAGAATCGTCTCGGCACTATTCATCAACTATCTATCTATTACATGGAATTGTTCTTTTCCTTTGGGGGAAAGGTGCAGAAAAAAATACAACCGGTCACCTAGTAATATAATAATACAGTGGTTAATGATTTCTTTCCACCAGGAGTGGTGCAAAAACCAAAAATCATATCAAGTGACAAAGGCTCAAGAAAAGGATTAAAGCCGGGAAGATGAGATGGGGTGGCCGGGGGTTGGCTGCTTCGGGTATCTACATGCATGTAGGTGCCTAATCATAGGTGCTGTGGCCTGTAATTATGGCCCAGAATGGCCATGCCCTGCTTTCTTCCCTAATACCTAGGGAGTAACTATTATTAATAATAGCTAACCTGATCTGGTTTCCTGATTGGGAAATTCTTTGATGTCTGATCGCAGCCCGTTTCGGTTCCTATTCTTCACACCCAGATGATTTAATAACTCCCTCCTCCCTTGCCATTTTACAGCCGATACATACACAAAGTATGAGGTGTGAACGGAGGAGAGTAACGCAGTATATCCCCGCACCCTATCCCACGCAGTGCGTCAAGTCTCTTGTTGAGAATGACCACCAGCCTGGGCTGTTGCCTTTGTCGCGGGATCGCCGGACGGTGTCGCGACATGGGCGGGTTCGGCGCTCGAGTCTCCAGCATTGCGACCCGCCGAGCCAAACCCCCTGTTGAACCGGTCGATGTGTTCCTTGAGCACGTCGGCCCTGCGCCTGTCGGCCTGGGACTTTCTGGCCTCGGCGTCGCGCTCGACCTCCCTGGCGGCCATGAAGATGCGCATGGCGTCGTAGCCGCGCAGCGCGTCGGTCGCGTCCTCCCAGAACATCTGGACCGAGTCCTGGGCGACGCGGCACGCGAGGGCCAGCAGGCGGCGCTCGGCGCGGTTGATGTGTCGCTGGCGACGGTACACGCCGCGCAGGAACGTGCGCGTGTCGGGCGTCAGCCCCAGGTAGTGGTCGCGCCCGGACTCGAAGACGGTCGCGTACTCGCTGCGCAGGTGCTCGGCGATGCCGACCCGGAACACGGGCGCGGGCCCGTACTTGGACACGTGGTGGAAGAGGCGCTCGCGGGCCGCCGCGTCCTCGACGCTCAGGATCGTGTTCATGTTCCCCAGCAGGCCCCGCGGCCACGTCCGGTCGTCCGGCCAGCTGACCTTCGTGGCGATCGGGTCCCACGGCAGCGTCGTCACGTAGGGTACCGAGTCCGGGTCGGTCGTCCGCAGAGGGTGCATGGTCGTGTCTGTCTCTGTGTCCGCCGTCTCGGGGTCTCGCGCGATGCGTGTCGCCGTCGTGGGGAATGCCAGCTTTGCGTCGAATTTGGGCTTGTCGTCGTCTTCGGTCCCGTTGAGCATGAACGCCTCGCCGTAATGAGCCGGTCTTTTGGCCTCGGGGGCGGCAGCAGGGGATGATGATGATGATGATGCAGTCGCGGATTTTTGACCGTCCTTGGTGATGATTTCCTTGTCCTCCTCTCGCTCTTCCTTCTCAAAACACACTTTGCCCTTCTCGTCCCCTAACTTGAAGAACTTTTCGATCCCGACCTTGAGCCGCGCCATGGAGCCATAGTGCTTGTACTCGTCAAAGAGGCCCTTGGTCTGCGCCGCCAGGGTCGTCTGCGTGCTCCGCGGCTGTCGGGAGAGGACCGTCTCGGCTTCGAGCGTGAGGCTGTGTAGCTGAGACTGCAGGTGTTCCAGGAGTCGAGCTTTTGCCGGGTCCCCGTCACCACCCGGGTGGCGTCGACGTGTTCGTGTCGAAGAAGGCTCACCCGCATGGGATTCTTCAGAGTCGCTACCTTCGTCTGTTGACTGTTCAGATATGTGGCCTGCCACGTCGCCGAGGAGGTCGCTATTGTCGTCGTCGTCGGTGACGTGAGCGTTCATTTTTTTTTTCTTCTTCAGAGCTTTCGCTTTGTGTGGTGCCAATGATGACGAAACCGACGAACACAGTCAAGGAACAAAGGGTCGTTGATGGTTCGTTGGCCGTGCGTGAGAAGGGTGTACACCGAAGGGATGGAGGTAAGGTGAGAGACACGTCCTCGATGCCCGCCTTGATCGACTTGTCGCTTCTTGTTTTTCAATTTGTCGCGGACAGTGGAGGTGAGTGAACCAACATCTTTTGTAGGTCGTGTGTTATTTGAGGAAATAAAAGTGAGAAGCGCAGGAAAGAGAACATTAAGAAAGAAAGGTCAGGCAGAAGAGCCGAATTGAAGGGATTCACTTGATCGATAAATTCACTGTTTCGTGTTCGGCTGCTGGGGTGAGGCAGTTCAGACCATTCATCCATCGGTCGTTCACGGTGGAGTACAAGAGACACTCATCTATCCATCCAGGCATCCACTTTGACTGATCTTCGTTGACGTTGACGTTGATGTTCGACATGGCCATTGCACTGGACTCCCGCAGGAAGAAAGAAGAAGAGACTGTAGAAGAATAAGAGGCTTGTTCCGGTAAGAGTGAGTTCATTCGAGATCGGGCGATTTCAACTAATCTGCCTGCACACCCACACCCATACTGACATCGACATCCGTATTTCACAATATATCATCATTGTCAATCCCTGTGTGCTGGCTGGGTTGGTATTTCCTTTGGATGTCTTCTGTTACATGGATCCGATCGCTTATCATCATCCGCATTTTTATCCAGCCAAGTCCGTCATCCATTACTTTCTCCTCAATATGATCCAGCGTGGTGAACTAAACCCCGCTCGAAATGCTCCCCGTGTGAACTGACACAGAGGGATCTTAGCCAACCAGATCTGGTGCCTTTGCGCATGCCATCGCCATCACCATCACCATCACGCACGCAGTTGCAAGGCATCAATTCCCCAAGCAAGAGAGGGGCGACACAGGCCGCCGCTTTGATAAACGCCCCAGCCAGAATGATCTCGCCGTCTCTCAGAAAATACCAAGTCTGGAAAATAGGAACAAGAAAAGGAAATGAATAAGAAAAAAGAGTTGGCGCAGTCGACCGGCTCTGTCTATACCTGGCTCGGACCTTGGAGAGGGAGGGGGGGGGGGGTTCAATGACCCCTCAGAACTTCTCACTGGTCACTCCCCTCGTTACATGGACCAGCACCCAAGCCAGCACCTGCACGACCGTGGTGAGGAGCCAGACGACCAGTCTCAACACCATGATCAGCCCGCTGAGCGCTCCCCTCGTGACGGCGGGTAACTCCTCGCCCTTGCGGTCGCCGGACTGGTAGTGGCCCAGCTTCTCCAGGTCGAACTCGCGCATAACGATCTTCTTGGTCTTGGTCTTGGTCTTGGACTTCCTCTTCCTCCGAGATTTCTTCTCCGAGACGCCTTCAGAGTCGTCGTCGGTCGTCGTGGCGCTGCTGCTCGACAACCGCCCAAACCACATCCGCGACCCTTTGGACTTGGATCTCGATGACGAGTAGCCGCCCGTGCGGAGGTCGGCCTCGTGGGCCCGCCGCATCAATTTGGCCTCCTCCTCGGCCTCTTCCCGCTCCGCGATGGTCGCGTAAAAGACACTGCCCACGTGGCTCTTCACACTACCGGCCCGGGTGTGGATGCTTCTGGTTCCTGTTCCGAGACGAGATGTCGGGGCCGGTCTGGGCTTCCAGATCTCCATGCCTCCCAGCACCGCATTCGTGGTCGCGTCTGCCACGGCGACGGAGAGAATCGCCGAGACGATGCAGTCGATGCTGAACAGGCTGGGCATGAGGTCGAGAATGGCGTTGGCATCTACGTGGAGGATCTCAGAGGTCAGATCAAGGGTCGCGAGGGTCGAGAACTCTGACGAAGGCGACGACGTTTCAGTTAGTGGAAGCGTCGACAACCGCCGTATGCCAGCTCCTGCAGAGGATGGAGCCGTGGTGGTGGGCGTCATGATCCCGCCGGTCCGTCGCGAAGCGTTGGGGTCTATCACACTGATAGTAGGAAGAGGGCCGTCACTAGAAATGGTCACATGCAACACAGGCTTCCCCATAATGCTCTTGATCGTCGTCGGCGAGCTCAGAGAGGGGCTTTTCATCGCGAAATCCCCTCCCATAGCACCCCGCCCTATGGCCGGGTGTTCCAGTTCGTAGAATCCGCCGCTCGCATTGAACCGCAAGTGGCAGGCTTCTTGCTGAGCAGCCCGACGGACCGCCTGCGCTTCGATCTCGTCTCTGTCTGTGGGTGCGAGGTTATGCTGTCGTGCGAGGGCGGCTGATTGGTTTATAGCGAGGAGGGCCGCCAATTTAGGGAATATGAAGGCCACGAGGCCGTCATTGGGCGGAAGGCGGCGAGGACCTGGCTCCAGCGGACAGAGAACGACGTCGCGGGTGATTGGACTCTCAGCCCCGGCTGAAGAGGACTTGGCTTTGCTGGGGCAGGTTTTTGAGATGGCGATCTCATTCGTGTCGTACGTTTGGAGGGTGTAGAAGGGCAGAGACGGGTGGGAGCCAAATACAAATGTTGCTTCCTCGGTCCTGCGCACCATCATTAGCGTGACATGAAAAACAAAACGTGTGGAGAGCGCGCATCTACCGTGCCATCTCGAGATCGAAAGACTTGATCGACGAAGCCGGTTCCGTCCCGTGAGAAGCTTCCCACAACTTCTCGAGCTCCCTTTGCGTCGATATACGGGGACCGACGCTGATACTCATGACGTCTGACGGAAAGTTGAGAACACTAGCCGGCGCCGTCCTCTGTGCAGCTGCCATGGCTGACATGTTGAATGGGATCGAAAGACTGCTTCTTCGGTAGTCCTCCCTCGAAGGTGGTATGCCTGCGAAAAGAGGCATGCCGGAGATTCGCACCGGCGGGGGGGGTTGCGGGACGAACACTGGCAGAGTGACCACAGGCGCAGAAGGGTCGTAGACGGGGAACATGGAGCGGATGGGCACGATTGGCGACGGTCCGATCGGGGATTTGTCATTTGGCGCAACCTGGACGTACACGGTGGAAGCTGGTGCTGCCACCAATGTCGTGGCTGATCCTGTCCCTGGTGACGATGAGGTTTGCGAAGATGACTTTTGACGAAAGTCGGGCGACTGGTATAACGATGGGGTATACGCCGCCGCTGCAGCAGAAGGGTGGACGGGCTGAGTGGGCGTCTTCCCATCGATCGGCGATACCGTGCTCACTGCCCGTCCGATGTCTTCCGGAGAAGGGGTAGTTTCCCGCATGGGCTGCTGCTCGCTCAGGCGGGTTGGGACTCGAGGCAGAGGCGGCCGTTCCTCCTCCATTTTGATCACGACCGACTCGGCATTGGGCGAAAACGCGCTGTCCGGCGAGGTGACGACACTGATACTGTGTAGGCTTGGGTTCTTTTTGTGTGGGTTTGGAATCGAGATCTTGGGGACTGTCGTCGGAAAGAGTGAAAAGCCTTGGAGGGCTGGAGTTGACGCGGATGCGGTAGCCATGCTGGATGCCTGATCGCAGCGTACTTGACCGTGCGGGTCCCAGCAGAACTCGAAAGGGAGCAGACCTGCTGCGTACAAGCGTGAAAAAGGACAGGGAATTAAAGTGTAAAGGGTAAAAAAAAAATAGATGGACGGTGCACAGCACAGCACAGCAGAGCACAGCACACTGCCTCGAAACAACTTACGAACAGCACACCAGGCACACGAGGACAGAAGAAGGGGAGAAAGAAAGATATTCAAGAAGGGGGATGTGAGCGGGACAAAAATGAACGACCACGATTTCCCCTAGGATGAGCACCGGGCGCCCTCACAGAAAACGGGAGCTCTTCGCATGATGCAAGCGGCCCAATGGGTGACCGGTGGGAGAAAATCTACCTTGGCTGGCGTTTAGCGGCTCAAGATAGAAGTTATGCCAGATCATGAAGATCTATCACACCTGTGAAGACGCTGAACGAATGCATTGGCGAGAGACAAACCAATAGCGAGGGAGAAGGTGGAAATTGTGGACATTGGTCTGGAGGTGAGGAGGAAGAGCACGATAGAAGAAAGAGACGAGGAGGAAAGCAATACAGTGGAGTCGAAATGGCCTCAAACCCGGTCGGCGCGTAGAGGTGGTCATGATTGGCTGATCTATTTGCGGAAACAGGTGGACTCGGTCATCTTTGTATCGTTATTGGCTGAACGGCAACTGCCGCCAAATCCGCACTGGGAGGACTGCATCAAGGCAGAAGACACAAAGCACTGTATCATAGGTACCTTCTCTTTACTTTTCTCGCTACCGAGTGACTCTACAAGCACGTGTCTACTTTTCTACTCGAATGCGCGCAGTACTGCTGCAGCCACAGGCCCTCGGAATAGAAACTGCAGCCAATAGACTCGCCAGTGCACTTGTGTCCGTCTCCCACCAGGCTCTCAGACCACCCTCCCTATCCGAGGTGGGCATGTTGCAATCTGCTTCCAGCCTCGTCAGAAGCGACCCTGCATCAGAAACTATGCTTTATCACGGTAGGTTGAAGTCAACCACAATTCGCCTGCGTACTCGTCAGTGAACACTCTGGATTGCCCTGCCTGCCGAAGCCCGAAAACTTACCCTGCTACTTGTCCGTTCTTGAGTTTCTGAACCGATTCGTTGAATTTGCTCAACCCTACCACGGTGGGCTCGAGGCGAAGTTTCCCTGTTCATTTCTGTTCAGCCTCCTCGTCACCATTGACACACATCCGCGCATCACATACCTCGTTTGGCAAAGTCCAGTGTCTCGTCGATATCGGCCAAGCTGCTGACCAAAGTTCCTTTGATGGACTGATTGCGGAACACCAGCCTTGATGCGTCCAGGTCGATGTGATACTTTCCTTTCGGCGGGATGCCAATGCTATGCATGCGTCAGCCAGTGCGTTAGACCTGCTGGAGCGAAATATATCTTACCACATGACTTGTCCACCTCCTCGAGCTCCGAGGTAGTCAAGTGCGATGGGGTACGCTTGTACGGCTGTCGATGCTGTTAGCTACTCGCCCTAGAAAAGGTCGCAATGTGTCCGGCGAGACATACCAGTAACAATGACTCCATGGGCTCCTCCTTCGGTTATTTCAAGAACTTTCTTTACCGGGTCTCCATCCTTAAAGTCGATGAAATGTTCAGCTCCATAATGCAGGGAGAGCTTTTTCCTCTCGTCTCCAGTGTCGACCACGATCGGCCGAATACCCATTGCGGCAGCCAGTTGAACACCCTGAATACCAACACCGCCACCACCACCAGGGAAGACGGCCCATTGACCCGGTCTCAGATCCGATTCCTTGAGCGAGGAGTAAATTGTCGAGGCGGAACACATCACGGGACCGGCGACATAGTCTGATACTCCCTAGGATGGGTCAACACACGTAGAGGCAGGGAGGATGCATAGCCGGACTTACGTCGGGAATGAGCTGTGATGGGGAGTTAGCCTATGATATGTCACGTCTTGAGTGGGCCCTTACGGTTGTATAATTCTCTGGTGAAACCACATACTGCTTATATGACCCTGCAGGTGCATTAATATATGTTCTGTTCGCAAGCACGCCAGCATGTACCCACCGTCGCAGTGGCCGCCAGTGTAGACGGCTTTGAAGCAATATGTCTCTCTGCCGCTCTTGCAGTATTCGCAGGAATGGCACACATTTTGGATCGGTTTGTAGCCGGCCCGCTGGCCAACCTTGTATGCCGTGACGTTCTCACCCACTTTGACAATCACTCCAGCTCCTTCGTGTCCGGCGCACTTGACCCCTAGGTCGGACATCTTTGCGGTGCCCCAGTCGTTGAGCATAAAGTGGACATCGCTTAGGCAGAGACCCGTGGCATTGAGTTTGATCAGGACATCATTGGGACCTGCACGGAAGGGTCGCGAGTCAGCACATTTGAGTCAGATTAGCAAGGGTTCGACAGGCTGTGTACGCACCAATTTCAGGTACAGGCACCTTCTCTACCTCGACATAGAAGTCGGGTCCCTCATTTTTCTATTGAGCTGTGTGAGAGCCTGGACTAAGCTGGTTCATTGCAAGTCACGTACCACAACAGCACCCCAGCACTCCTTGGGGATATCGAAAGTCGGCGCGGGATCACTCATGGCGGCAAAGACTGTGACTGTTCAGTAGGTCGGTGGAATGGGTACAGGGTAGGGAAGAGAAGCAGAAGGAGGTAGAAGAAAAGGCCGCACGAGCGACATTAGTAGATTTTATCTTTGTCTGACTCGGTCATCGACTTGTGCACGGGTTGGCCAGAGAACGAGGGGTGGAGGAGGGGCAGGTGCGCCTTCTTAGTCCTTCCCCATTATCTTGGAAGGGACGAACACAATGGAGATTGTAGATCCGAGAAACCCAAAATGCCGAGCAGATGGAGCCTCGGGTCGCACAGGACGGGCAAAAGGCAAGTGGACAAGTCATGGCCTACAGGATTGGAGATACTGAGGCATCGAAGACGCTGTCCAGATTGAGGAAAAGCCCCCTGGGTTGGCTCTTCTTTTCGTGATGTACGTCTTACAATTCAAGCCTGGCTCTGGGAGCTGATGGCGAAACTCAAAAGACCAGAGATTCAAAGCACGCGTCATCATAGAGGCACGCATCATTTGGCATCATTTGGTAAACAAGGCCGCGGGGGGATTGAAGGAGCAGTTAACGGCGGGGTTGATCAAGCGAGGACAAAAATGTGGAGGCACAACGATCGTAGCTACCGAGGTCATGATCCGGAGTAACCCCTATCCGAGAACGCCAAGTACGGACGTGACGGAGCCTGACACGCCTGACTAGTGTCAGCCAGGCACGTGCCATGTTCGCGACAAGGCTGCCATCCGTCTGGTGGGAGTATTCTTCCCTGCCTTCCCAGCTCTCAGCACCCTGATATTTGTTGATGCAAATAGCGCCTATTTCCCTCGCCATATGTCGAAACCACGCAAGACATCAGATAAACCAGATGCGGATAAACAGATAGAGTGTTGCTCTTCGCTCCTCGCCCCAAAAAAGACCGGTGTGTAGCGGCGAGCCAGAGGAATGTCCTGTAGACCCTGTCTCTCAAACTCCCTCAATATATCAAAGGCAACCTCTCAGTCATCGTCTTCAATCGCGACCACATCTGGATCGAGTGCTTCCCAATCCTCAACTTTACTTCTTAGGACTCTGGGACCAAATCCTCTCTTCCTACATGCACCATGTTCTGAGACACGAAAGAAATGTCGAGAATGATGGATCATAGTCCGCTGAAACTGGTCCCTTATCGACTTGATGAGCCATTCTTCGAGAACATCCCCTTGTGCATTCTCGCCAATTCCTTCTAGTTCTCTTTCTGATTTGTTCGGATTTTCTGTTGGGTTCAAGTCACCCGCTTCGGGTCGCGAAAAAATGATCATAGCCAAGTCAAGGAGACATTGGGGCCCGTACGGATGGAACTGCGCCTGAGTGATCTTCCGAAAAACGAGGTCTTGCAAGCTTTTCATCCCTAGTCTTTCGGCGATGACATACAACTTTCCACTCCTTAGTGCCTCGTTTCTGTAGTGGTCGACGGTGGCGCAATTGTCGAGTTGCTTTGGAAGGACATTCTCCCCATGTGGATGGTTCACAAGTGCGGGCATGTATTCATCCGTCAGAAGAAACTCGCGAACCGCACGAAACTGGTCTGCATCGACAGCCAGCAGTCCTGGATGCATAATGTATGGACTGGGCGTGCCGAGTTCGCGGACCAGGCACTTCAACACGGGGGCTTTTTCGAGGTCTTCGAGGCTCACTTCCATTTCGGTGTTATTCTTTCCTACGTAGACCTTCACTCTCTGCTCAGGTGGCTTTTGCTGTAACTTCTCCAGAGCTTGTGCTTCGGCCTCGCGTTTGATCCGAACTGGTGCAGGGCCGGATGATGTTGACATGTTCGGAGATTCTAAAGACGAAATTTGCTCCGCTGTCACTGTTGTGGATGTTTTGCGTCGCTTGGGTTGTGGAAACGGATAACGTGGAACTCTGCTTCTCGATATGCTCTCATTGGCTTCATCACCATTTATCGAACCGTCCGAGTATGCCAGCAATGCCTCTTGGTTGTATCGTCGAGCCCGCTCTTCAGCTGTAAAAGCAGGCTCGCCCCACAAGTTGGACATGGTGGTTGAATGACGTGGAAGTGAGAGAGCAATGAGTAAATCACAGAAGACCAAAAGGTCGGTCTTTAATTAGTTCTGAAGTGTGTCCTGCCGATGTTCGAGAATAGATCTCACGCGTGGAGAAAGTAAGAGGAAACCAAGCCAGATACAGGCAGATCAATGGTTGGTTTGAAGCGAAAGAACAAAACAGGGAGAAAGGTCCAATGCCTGTTGTCCAGGTTGACATAGAGCGGGGACTCGAGGATGGAAGGGTTGGAGGCAGGAAGAACGGAAATACTTACTTGCAGCCACATGCTCTCCCGGACTTTGAATATTCACTGATCTTCACATGCTGATGCGTTCGAGGACAGCACAACATAAGGAAACAAGATATTTGAGGTGGCCGAATCTCTCATTTTCCTATTCTGAACATAGAGGTTTTCATCCCGTCCCTAGGGATCGAGTTTGAAAGTAGCTTCACCATATCAGACGTCGACACCAGAGTCGAGAAACAACCAAAGTACATAAGAGTTGCGAGTTGTAGATCGCACACTGTGTGAGTTGATCATTTCCTTGGAATTCTCAAAATCCCAATGAAAGAGCGGAAAGCCGAAATTGCGCCTAAGCAGGGCCATTAGAAGGAGTAGGGTTGCGATGAACCACCAATTGTCGTCGGCCAACCTCGAGAAGAAGCGGAGTTGTTGCTGCTGTCAAAGCAGGCGAGATCCCACAAGACTCGTTGCTGATTCCAACGGCCCGGTAAACATACTGTCCTACCTCACATCATAGCACCAGACTGTCGAGCCTACTTCGAGTCGTCTGCGCAACCGTTTAGATGACTCTGGGAGACCGGCTGTTGCTGTCAAGATCAAAAGATGTAAGCATTTTGTTCCAATGAACTGCGAATTTCCCATGCCTGCACAAAATCACGCGTTGATCCCTTACCTGATCTCGACAATGTCATCGATATGATTGCACATCGCCACAAAGAGGTCGAAAAACAATTTGCCCCCATTCTCCATCTCCATCTGCATGGTTCCGCTCCTCTTGAAAGTCTTGCGACTTCGAATGATCAGGGCTAGGTAATGAGCGCGGAGTCGCGACTCGGTATCCGGCGTGTGCGCATACGCATATCGAGCTGATCGCAAGATCACGTCGACTTGGATTCCAGACTGCAACCCCTGCTTCCGTAGACACAGGCGTTTCAGTTCCTCCAGGCCGTACTTCTCGGCAGCGCAGTACACCACGGTATCTCTCAAGACATCGCCACCGGCGTCAGCGAGGTAAATTGTCGATGCTTTGTTTCCGCGGCCACCATTTTTTATGAAATCCTGGGCGTCCTCGAGATCCCAAGTGTCTCGGCGCTTGTTGTGCAGCAAGCGAGGATAATAGTCACCCTTGTAGAGAAACTCAAGAACGCAGGATAGAATTTCGGGTTCTTCATCAGGCAGTTCCACCCTCTTCGAGCTGCCTTCAAGAAAGTTGCCTTTGAGAGCAGCCGCAAAGTAGGGTGAATGACAGAGGACGTCTTCATGAGCAGCGAAGAGGCGCTGCTCACAACCCACCACCAACGTGACGATGGGGCTCGTTAATGTACTGTACGAGGATCAGTTTATCTTGCTCTTTCCGCAAATGTTTGGGTTGTTTTGTATTCAAGGCTGCCTACCTTGCCACTGGCGAGCCGGCGTCCACAGTGTCCTGCATCTTCTTCTTCACGTGTTCGGGATAAGTGGTCTTTGTGGTCTTCGACTTGACGATGCGACCTTCCCTTGTATTGAACGATCGCTTGAACATGTTGTCGAAAGAGCGCACCGACATTAGGCAAAATGCAATGATCGTTGCTTGTCAAGATCCAGAGATTCACGAACGAGCGAAGGAAGGAAGGAACGGCAGAAGAACCTGTGATTGTAGTAGAGAGCGTGATATGTGTTCTTCGGTGGGAGAGCGACGCTTCACAAGGACATGTGATGAGGAGCTGCGCAAGTCTTCGCTGGATGACTCCCACGCCTGCCAACCAAACTCTCGAGAGAGGGTCAACAGCCGATGGAAATCACACGGAAGGACTTGACGGTTCGGTTTTCTTTGCGCGAAACAAAGATAGCCGGACGCGCGTGTGCTTTGCCTGCTCGGGTGCGTGAAGAAAGGAAAGGAAGGGAGACGAGAATGGAAGGTTTGGGATATATACCTGCGCTGCGCAGGGCGGTTGCGAGGCTTGGCTGAAGGCAACCACGCCAACGGGGAGATGCATTATCGAATCATAGTGAAAAGGCTGCGCCTATCTTCCAGGCATGCATGCAGTGCAACTTGCAGTACCCGGTAGTGAGTCGGTAAAACACAGCCCCAGGAAAGAGACTTGTCGAAGCGATGGAGATGTTGCGGAAGCGGAGGGTCTCGAGGCCCCCATTTCATTAGCAGAACCATGACTTTCTAAATCATTTGTTGACATTGTCAGCTGACCGCGTTTTGACTGTCGCACGCGCCTTGTGCACCCTGCCACAGCTTCAAAGAATTCAGATCAACAGCTTGTGACATTGTCATCCTCCCGGCATCCGCTGGTACCTCTGTGTATGTTCACATCCAAAAATTGACAGAGAAGCGTATCCCGAGGTCAATGGTTATGCGTCGTCGCCTCTGAGACAGTGCTGAAATTGTCCAAATGTGAGCCTGGTTAATTCGCCGTATCGGGAGTCACTTCACCAGGCGACATTGTATGCGCAAACCCTCCGTATATCGGCAAAGCACAAAAGTGCCGTTGTGATGCAAGAGTGCCTGGCATGCTTGATTGCGCAGTCACCACTGCTCATCCAGGTCTTTAGCTGGTAGACGCTCCAACTGTCTGCGTTTGGTGTCTACCATTCGGTTGACTAGAAATAGGTCCGCATCCTCGAAGTCCAGCCATTCGCCTCCACATTCTTCTGCTCCAGCTCAGCTATCTGGTTTCCTTCTCGAATCTTGCGCTCCTTTTCCTTTCGGGATCTAATACGTTCAAGGATTTCAGGGTTCGGATTCTC